GAGTAGGTTCCAGGACAGCCAAGGCTAAACAGAGAAACCCTGTCTTGAAAAACCAAAAAAAAACAATAAACAAACAAAAAAGCCTAAAGTTTACATGTTAATAATTATATTAATTCAATATATTTAAAAGATATTTACAAGATAAAGATTGTTGGGCATATAGAGCCACCTGCCTGCAGTCCTAATACTTGGGAGATTATGTAATCAGACTTGTCTTAACAAACCAAAACTAAATTACACTACAAGAAAAAAAGCCCTCAGCATTGACTAGGTACAGACTGACTTCCATGCCAGCCAAGGATACATAGTGAGACCCTGTTTCTAAAAGAAAAGGAAAAGAAAGGGAAAACAACAGACAAGACAGTCAGGAAAGAAATTCATAGCAAAACTATTTTGAATAAAAAAAGTCAAAAAGCCAGCTGGGAGCGGTGGCACACATCTGTTACCCCAGCACTCTAGGAGGCAGAGGCAGGTGGATCTCTCTGAGTTCAAGGCCAACCTGCTCTACAAAGGGAGTCCAAGATAGCCAAGGCTACACAGAGAAACCCTGCCTCGAAGAAAAAAAAAAAAAAAGAAAGAAAGAAAAATTTCAAAAAAACAAAAAACAAAACAGCAAACCTATTTCACAAAGCAAGGAAGTCTCAAAGATTGGTAAAGCATACAGTAGTGGTGCATGCCTGTAATCCCAGCGGTCAGAAAGCAGAGACGGGAGCATCAGGAGTTCACGGCCAAGCGAGGCTACCTACTGAAACTCTCTCTCAAGAAAACAGAAGCAGCAATGAACTGGTACAAATGCTGAGAATGCAGCTGACCCATGGAATGGACAAGGCTCTGGATGCAATCTTTAGCACCAAACAAGAAAAGAACGATGAACCTGGGGCGCAGCAGTGACTGCGTCTCTTCACTGGAAAAACACAGCCAGTCCTGACTTTTCAGTGCCAGAAGCCTAGGGGAACGGTAGTGGTTAAGTGCCCACACCTGACCCTGCCCAGCACTGTGGGAAGTCTGCAGGTCCAGGTCCGCCCAACAGCTCTACAGAAAATAAGTTCAATGGGTCCCCCACTTTTGCTTACCCCCATTTCGTCAGACATTCAAACCTCTCAGGTTCATCCAGCATGATCCAAACCCCACTCCCTTGGGGCTGGGAGTGAGCTCAGCGAGGAGGGTGGAGGGCGAGCTTAGGCCCCAGCATGGACTCTAGCACTGCAGAAGCAAAACCACCCCCAAGCCTCAGCCCTGCTTGCTCAAGTCTCCACTAACTCACCCCCTCACCCCTCTCTTCTAAATCCTCGCCCAGTGGTCTCTGAGGCTCTCTGTTGAATTTCCTGCCCTCAGTCACATCTCCTGGTATTTTCCACTGCTTCCAGGTGATGCTGGCTCCTCCCCCATTCCTCCAAGCTCTCTCAAGCAGACAGCTGACAACTCTTGGGGAATGAGGTCAGAGACATCTTTGCTTCCCCTGCACTACCTTGTACAAGGTACAAGGTACCTTGTACCTTGTACAAAGGGACTTCTCTAGGAAGAATGTGGCTGGTTCTCCACCTACGGACCCTTTGGCTTTCCCAGTTCAGCCTCCTGCTGCAGAGGCTGCTCTACCTGGCACTTCTTAGCCACCTTGCATCTGAACAGTAATCCCACCTCACTTATGGGGGTCCTGTCCAAAGACATTAAGTTGAGCCTAGATCACAGATAACCAACCTTACCCACACAGCTCCCTGTGCGCATACACCTATGAGAACACTGAAGTCATAAGCCAGGTACAGAAATCGATCAGAACACACCACAGTGAAGGCTATGTGGTCTCTCTTGAGGCAATCCATACAGTACTAAGACTTTTTGGACTGTAGTTGATTTTGAGTGACTGGAAGTAAGGTAAGTGAAGCCCCAGGAAAGAGAAAAGACTAAGCTGGGAGGTGGTGGTGCACGGCTTTAATCCCAGCACTTGGGAGGCGGAGACAGGTGGATCTCTGTGAGTTCAAGGCCAGCCTGGTCTACAGAGTGAGCTACAAGACAGCCAAAGCTATCAGGGAAACCCTGCCTCAAAAAATCAAGAGAGAGAGAGAGAAAAGAGAGAGAAGAGAGAAAGAGAAGACAGAGAAAAGAAAGGGAGAGAGGAGAGAGAGAGAGACTATGCCACACATCAACAACAATTCACTGCTCAGGTTTGGCTCTGTTCACTTCTCTCTTTTTTTTCTCTATCCCTTCCTTCAGGTCAGGGTTTCTTAATACTGGCACCATTGACATTTTGGACCACAAACTTATTCACAGGAGCAAGGGAGAGGTGTTCTGGACAGAACACAGTGTTTACTTATCAATGCCCCTGGCTTTTACCCAAGAATGCCAAGGAGAGCGCCAACACGGCACCTCTCAAGAGCACATCTGCCAACTTATGTGCTTATGTGCTCATTATTCACGCAAACTCTAAGATCAATCCAACAATCCGGGGAGTCAATACAATAGGATACTATATTTAGGCATTAGCTCCGGAGCATGGTAACATACTGTGGTTATGTCTAAAGTGGTGGTTAGCTCAGAGACCCAGGACGAACCAGATTTGCCTCAAAATAATCTGAGATAGAAGAGAATGTGAAAGGGTGAAACAAGCTTGCCTATAAATAGGTAATCTTTGAAGGTAGGAAAATTAGAATACAGTAGGCTTAAACAGTCAAAATCAGGCTGGGCATGAATTTTTAATCCCAGTGTTCAGGAGAAAGAGGCAAGTGAGTTTCTGTGACTTGATACTAGCCTGGTCTACATGGTAAATGCCAATCCAGACAGGGATTCAGGGAGACCCTGTCTCAAATAAGATAAGGTTTGTTGATGACACGTGGCTTTGGTCTTTCCCCTTCAGCCACTGTAAGAATACTATTCCACTGGGTCCTTGTCAGTCTTCCACTAGAGAGACTAAGCCACCAGCTGAAAAAACCTCTTTTACTCACTAGCCAAAACAAGCAGAAAGGTGAAGAGAGTAAGCTTCGGCCAATGCCACCATCAAGCACAGCCAGCCACCACGAGATCATTTAGCACCCGTAGGACGGTTCGCAGAAACCTAAAGCCTTGGGAGTCCCTGAAGGGGTGTGCAGAAAGCCAAGACTTCATTCAAATCCTTAGTGCAGAGCCTCGGGATACCAGGCATTCATGGGTACAGAAGCACAGAGGGTCCTGGCTTTTCATCTCAGTTTGGATTGGAACTGCTGTTTCCTGCTCATGGCTGCATTAAACAATACTGCGGCCAACACCATTTTCACCCCCACCATCACATTAGCAAAACTTCAGGGAGCAAGAAAACTCTTGTGAGAAGAGAATGACTGCTTCTACACCCCGGATAGACAAAGTGGCTCATGCCTGTGACCCCACATTTGGAAGCGCCCTAGTTTCAGTTCTGTTACTCTGATAAAATACCCTGACAAAAGCAGCTCAGAAAAGAAAGGGCTTGTTTTAGCTCAGGATGCCAGGCCAGACTCCGTTAGAGCAGGGAAGTCAAGAACTGAAAGCAGCTAGTGTTGGCCAGTCAGGGGCAGAGAGAATGAGTGCTGCGTGCTTCTGTGATGCGCTCTCCACTCACACAGGCCCAGGGAATGTGCAGCCCACATTCAGGCTGGGACTTCCCTCCTCAATCAGCCCTAGAAATTTCCCACCGGCGTGCCCATCAGCCAACTCAACCCAGATGATTCCTCACTGAGACTCTGTATCCAGGACCTTCTAGAGTATGTGTCAAGTTGACAAAGAAGAAGGGCTGAGGCAGGAGGATTGCTGTGAATGTGAGGACAGCCTGGGTTACCTAGAAAGCTCCAGTCTATCTAGGCTACGCTATGACATCTTGACAGGAAAAGAAAGCCAGCAAGGAAATCCCTAAGGGGTAACTTTTCTGATATGTGCCCTATGCTTCAGTTGTTGAACAAAGAAGACATCACCTCCCTTCAAGCACTTTGTGATAGTTATTTGCTCCAAAAGTTGATTAAAACTCAGTTTTGTTTTCTTCCCTCTGCAACTTGGCTGGCTCTGTATTCCACAGGAAGGGGCGTGTAGAGTGTGTACAGCTGTAGGAAATGCTTTTAAAATAGCTCAACACCGGTCTACCATGTCTATATTCATGATGATTGAACAACCTCCCAAGCGTGTGCTGAGGGGAAAAGCTCCAGTGTCAGCTTTTATTCAATAGTTTATACAATCCATTCAGACAGATTTGAACCATTATACAGCTTATAATGATTTTTTTTTTTAAAACTAGCTTTACTCTACCTGATTATAATTCTAATTCCACTTCTGTTTATCAGAATAACAATGGTCTTAAGAAGGAATAAGAAGAGGCCTTTAATCCCAGCACTTGGAGGGCACAGTTAGGTAGATCTCTGAGTTCAAGCCAGCCTGGTCTACAGAGCAAGTTCCAGGACAGCCAGGACTACACAAAGAAACCTTGTCTCAAAAAACAAACAAACAAACAAACAAATAAAACAAAACAAACCCAAGCATGTGCTGTTCTTCTAGAGGACCCAGGTTTGAATCCCAGCACCCACATGGTGGCTTAAAGCCATCTGTAGCCCAGTCCCAGAGTATGTGAAGCCCTTTTTTGGCCTCTATGAGTACTGCACTCACACGGTACACAAACATACATGCAGGCAAAGCACCTGTATGTGTAAAATAAATGATAATAATAACAAAATGTTTTTAATTAAAAAGACATTCCACAGTCAAGTGAGCTACATAAATGAGTAGACGTAAATGCTTCACAACAATAAAGTAGTATAATTGTAAGTCTCAGATAATTATAAGCTTTCTACTAGCAGCAAATTACACTTCTAGTCCCGTCTGCCAACTCTTACCTAACATACTGGGTACCCGAAAATGTAAAATTCTGGGCATATTCAATTTGAGGGCACTATTTGTAGATATTAAACAAATATAAGTGCCAAAGACTCATAATGTGTCAATCAACATATTAAAAATACCAAGAATAACTGCTTTTAAGAGCAACTATGCACAACAGACAAGATACTTACAAGAGATAGCAGCAAACAGAAGAGGTCACCAACATGGTGATAATAACCCTAAAAGAGAAAGAAAGAAAGAAAACGCCATTATTAGACATCACAGAATAGGCAGGCCTCGCCACTGTCTGCCTGAATGAGTGCCAAGACAATGGACCTGTGCTTATCCAAACATCCAGCACTGCAGTGTGCCCCAGGGGTACTGAGGACAAGTGTAAGCACATAATCAACTTCCGTGTTTAAGGGAGCATGCTCATGCCACAGTTTGATTGGGAAACTGAGAAGCCTGTTCTGACAATTCATTTTTACAGAGCAACTGTATTTGACAGTGTTCTTGGCAATGAGTTAACACTGCTAAAGCTATGCTCACTAGCTGGACCTCCCCCATCTCCACCTCCTGATAAAAAGTTAAAGCTGCTGTTAAAGTTAAAGTTTCTGACCGGCTGAATTTCAGCGTTTCTAAAGCAGAACTCATGTTCGGTGCATCCTTCACTGTGGCTAACTTACAGGTACAGTCCTTCATTCCACAGGTCTCTCTTACAGAGAGGGGATCGGATGCCGCTGACCTCTGACCACCCACAAGCATGTGCGCAAGCACACATATAAACACACACATACAAATTTTTAAAAGAATAAAATAAATCTCTAAAAATATTAATTAAAAAACAGGCATCAGAACTCACTATCCTCTCTCCAAGCACTCCCCTTCTGAATCTTAGTCCCTGAGGCCAGGGTGTGGCTTGCTGGTAGAGCAAGCTCAGGGAAGCCTAGGGTCCAGTGCACACATAGCGCCCCACATAAGCACTGTCACCTCCCCTAACTGACTCTTAACTCTGTCTCCTGCTCGAGCTTCCTCTGCATGCTCACCCATGGTTTAGATTCATCCTTTGAAGCATCTCCCTCTCCGGTGGAACTCTCTTTTTTTCCCCCCCTTCACTTGCTTACAACAAAATTTACTGGTTCAGTTTGGTTAACTTACTTCAGGCAGATTCAAAACTTCCTTCAAGTCTTTTGTTCTCTCCATAACCATTCTGATTAATCTTTCAGAAATATCCTATTTCCCACAGGGGTGGTTGCCACACTGCCAGAGTAAACAAGGCAGACGTCAGAATGCCTGCTTCTTTCTAGGCCTTTAGAAGCTCTGTGCAGGCCTTTCCCGTGGCTAACCTGCAGGTACATTTCTTCATTCCACAGTACCTAGGGTATATCGAGCTCTGGAGAAGTAATGAATTAAACTGATTGAAAATGTCTACCCTGGTGGCTGGAGAGATAGCTCAGGGGTTAAGAGCACTGGATACCCTTTCAGAGGACACAGATTTGGTTCCTGGCACTCACATAGTAGCTGTCTGTCCCTCCAGTTCTAGGAGATCAAATGCCCTCTTCTGGCATCTCTGGGCACTACATATATATGATGCACAAACATAGGTGCAGAAATGCCCATACACATACAATAAAAAATAAATAAAATCCATCCTGCCCTTCCCTGAGAAGTGTACAGGCTGGGGAAGATGGGAGAGCAGACACCGCACAAGATGAATGACAGACAGACAATTAGCATTAGCACACTTAGGGATCAGCAGGCAAGAAAGACAGACGTGCCTGGCTGTGATGATGTTAAAGAAGTGTGATAAGGCCCTGGCAAATGATGCAGTGTGACTGCAGACTTGAGTGAATGTTCCCAGCAAAGGGACAGTAAACTTAGGCCCGAGCTGAGAGGAGACTTGGATGTTTCAAGGGAGGAGGCCTCAGTGACCGAAAGAGACAAGCCAAGGCTAGCTTGGCAAGCAGGAGGGGAGGTCAAAGAGGTAGGTCTCACAGCCTTTACAAGGCCTCTACTCAAATCATTATCAGAAGGGATCCAAAGAAAACTGGCAAAGTCTGGCTTCCACTGGGTTGAAGTAGGCTGGGTAAAGAGAGACCAAGGGAAAAGACATACTAATCAGGATTGAGGGTGTATAAAGGTACAGGGCTCAGTACAAGTGGAAAGGGCTTAGAGCCATGTGGGCAGCCACTGCTGGTCAGATTTTAGATGTGTTCTATTTTTTTTTTTAATCTGAGTGTGGGGTAGGGGTGTGTGCCTGGTTGCAGATGCCCATGGAGGGTAGGGGGTTTGCATTGCCTGAAGTTGTGTTACGTGAACTGCCCAAATGTGAGTACTGAGAAACGAACTCTGGTTCTCTGCCAGAGAGCAAAAGTTCATAACTGTGGAGCACCAGGATCTCTAAATGCATTTTAAAGACAAAGAAACGTGACACTTGTACAATAACCTGTGTAGTGAGAGCCTGTGTAGTTGCCTGTAATCTAAGCCCTTCACCCAGCTGGCCCTTCACACCAGTAATCTTAGCACTTGGAAGGCCAAAGCAGGAGGATGGCAAGTATGAAGTTAGCCTGGGATACATAAAGATGGACAGATAGAAGGCCAGCCTCCTAACTCTTCTTTTCAACTCTTTACTCCTGAAAGCAAGTGCCTTTACCACAACACTACACACACACACACACACACACACACACACACACACACACACACACA